TTTTCTTCTCTCAGCCGACTGTCTGTCCCAAAGTTCATCCTGTTCATTCACCTGTCTGCCAACATGTGATGTAATCTTGTCATGTTTTTGCTGTTTCATTAAATACTGAAGCTCCATGTTCATCTTGTCCATAATCTTGCTGAATTTGACTTAGATCAGGACATTCGCGAAAGTTCTTGAAATAATGTACACAGTGGAAACTATCATTGAGCAAAGAGATGCTCCGTTCCCATTTATCTCACTTACAGTATATATCCCACCAACATACATAAATATAACAAACACATCAGGATCTGTTTCCAGATGTTTACTAGATCTTTGTCACCTCTTCCTGGACCCTTCTCCACCCAGATGTCCAGTCTGAGGGGGGCTGGCCTCGGGGTTAAAAATCGTGGTGTAATCTGAAAACCTTCTTGACTTGATGTTCTGTCAGGTCAACCTGACGCTGCTAAACCTGTTTTGTTCTTTGTAGGTGTTTTGTTGTTTTTTTATTTTTATTATTTTTACCTTGTCCTGTTCAACGTTATGGCAGCAGAACAGGACTCTGAGTATTCTGAGTGCTATGCTGAACAAAATTGCTTTGCCAATGGAGGCTTTGTTAGTGAGAAGCCCCCCTTGATGACCCAAAACTGCTTTATTTATTCATTTTTGGTACCAAACTTACATGTGTCCAATAATGCCGAACCTGACAGAGGGAAGAAAGAAGAGCCGTGGAAAGGAGAGAGATAGAAAGAGAAAGGGCAAAAAAAAGAAAGAAAGACAACAAGACCATACAACCAGCTGCTATGTAAAAAGGAGACTGTTCCTTGTGGGCCAATCTGGGTGGAGAACCTGTAGGAGCTCCTGCAAAAGGACACAGGAAACACAAAAAAACAAATAAGCAACAAAAGCAATAACACTGGCAGCAGAACATTAGTGAGCTTCTCAGAGCTGTGCAGCAAATGGACAGAAGCTTAAGGAAGTGTGGGTCTGGGTATCTGACTGTCTGTCTGTGTGGAAGAATGAGAACCCAGGTTTCCCAGATTGTGTTCAGTTATGGTAGGTGGTCATCATTTTCTTAAAGCTGTCATATTATGCAAAACCAAGTTTTTAATCATTTGGCTATGTACATTTGGGACTGTGGAGGGCTTATCAGCAGGCAAAGTGTGAAAAAAAATGACTCGGTCATGTTTTTGTGGGCCGCCTCAGTCTGAATCCAGGAGATAAATCAGGAGGTTTCAGGAGTGGGTAGTTTCTGATGTCATTAGCTCTAGCTCATTATAATATTCCAGCCTTTCACCTGCATGTTGCCCCCCCCCTCAGCTTACTCCCCTATCTGTGGAGACGTCCTGGTAGCGTGAGCGTTAGCATGGTAGCGTTAGCATGGTAGCGTTAGC